TAATCCACTAAATAAAAATTAGGTTACAAATTTTTTAAATAATATTCTCTTGACAAATTATTTTCTTTTAACATCTTGTGTTGTACTATGAAATAAAAGCATTTGTTGACTAACATGATTTTTTCCACTAATGTAATATAGAATTGAAGATTTGTAGATACAAAGCCCTTTGGTACTTATAACTTGAATTATATTTCTTTCAATAAAATTTAGTGAAAACGTTATTGTTTAGATAATATTTATATTACATTATTTAGATTTTATAATGTTGTAGAAATAAATAGAAATATTGATTCTGCTACAAGTATATTTTTTAAAAAACCAAAATATCATTAAAATATAAAAATTAATCAAATTCTTCAAATAAATGAGACAAGAAAGCATATTTGCAAAGTTTTTTGTGTGAACATTCTTATGTGAACAACTTAGCTACGACAGCTTCTAGAATTAGAAAACATGGTAATGGTCGCAGCCTGTTGGAGGCCAAGGTTGCTCCTTATTCTTTTCAAAGCCATGTGAACGGATTCAAAACCAGTGGACATTTGGTTGAACTCAGAAAGCTTCAATGCAATGTCTTAAGGGACTTGCAATCACGCGGTTGAGCCTTCAGATGTCGATCACCTTCATTCAAACCATCTGGTTTTAAGATGATTGGTTTCTATGTAGGTGTGGTTGCCGCAATACGATCTAAGCTGGATCAAATTGGTAAGCAAAGATTCGGATGAAGACGTTGCAGAGACCAAACAAAACTGCATTTGAAGAAACTACTAGAAAGTGGCATGCCGAAGTAGATGACCTTCAAGACCGCCTGGGGAAGATCATGACCATCCCAGACAAAAGATCATGCAGAGTTGAGGCGTGTTCTCATAGAAGGTTGTGGTCGCGCACAGACGTCTGACCGAGCGGATACTCACAATCCGGACCTTCTCAGAAACTAAAAATGCGTTGGCGATGAGCTGAGCGTGATTGACGAGGACCAGGACAGGAGGCAATCTATCTGGAGAAGAAAAAAAAAAACAAAATAAAAAAAAAAAAAAAAAAACATCAGAGCTTGGTGAGAGGACTTTAATGGAATACTGTGGGAGAATGCGCAGTGTGAACATTGTACCCAGAACCCATAACTATACATGTTGAAGAGGATGGAGCGGCAAGATCCGCAATTGAAATGTTTCGACTTTGAAACAAAGCCACCTGAAGTTACAAAACACTATCTAGGTTACGAATACATCTTCCTCTTTATGAGAAGAATTCTGCTGTTTCAAAGTAGCTTTGCTTTCACCAGTAGTATCATATAAACAAGGAAGCAGGGCAATGAATTCCTACCCGTGGATTTCAATGGCGATCTTCTTTGTATTGAATAACACTGTTACTGGGTATGTCCAGCATTTGGAGTCTTGCCTGGGATTTGAGCCCCACGACCAGGAATTGCAGGAGTGATTTTTTGATCAAATGTGGTTGAATCCAAGTAAATAATATAAGAATTTGTAGGCCTATATTCTAACAATATTGTTAGAAAAACTAACAATACAATAAATAAACTAGAATTTTCTACAAGTGTAAAATATGATATATTTTAATTTTAACATTTTTATTTTTAAATGGTAGATATATTCTAATATAAATAGATTTTTTTAGTAAACAATATGACTAACTATTAGATATTCTTGATTTGATTTTTCTCTAATTCATGAGCCACCAAACTTATGCACCACATATATTATCAAATTAATAATTATCTATCATATAAATACGTTTTAATAAAAACATATTTGTATATTATTATTTCTAGTAAAAATTATTTAAAATTCTAAAATTCTAAAAAAATTATTAAATTTTTATTAATTATAAATTAATAATACAAAAATCAAAATCTTTGAATTTAGTGTTTTAGATTTTATTTTTATTTTTATGTACTGATCCTGATGTAATTTTGAATACAAAACTTTAATTTTATGTATTTTTTTAAGAAATTTGACTTCAAAATATCAACTATACAATCATATTTTTTTTCATATAATAATATTAATCTTATTAAAAATTTATTCTTTGGTTTATTTTAGAAAAAAAGTTGGCATTTGGATACACAATCACCAAATATGCTATTCCATGTTTATATCAAATTTTTATTACAATTTCGACTTTTATATCTATCTACAATCTATTATCAAAAGTTTTGTCTTTGTATGCTCCAACATTCAAATTGATTTGTATAAATATGATTTAAAATTGAATATTTCCTTTATTTTCTAATCTTCTCTCATATATATATATAAACATTAATTGTATGTATAAAAATTATAAAGAATAAGAAAAATATATGAAACCTTAGAGATTTTGGACAAATGTTTATAAAAATATTTGTAGTAGTAAAGATTAATTATTTGTGAAACTATTGTATTTGTAATAATAAACCAAAAAAATTAATTACAACATAGGAATCTATTTGAATATCGACAAAAGCAACAATTAAAAGTAATCATTTAGAGAATCCTTCAATTGCAATAGCATCAATTAGGTTCACACTACTTCAATTTTTTACTTTAGTTGAACTTAATAACATAATTTTCAATAAAAAAATATTTAAAAATTCTTAATTGCAACAAGTATTGATGCAAATGGAAGCATTATTGTCTTTGCATTTGCTAATATTCTTTTGTAATCAAGAAAATATAACCATACTTAAAATTTTACATAAAATCTATATTCTTTATTGATGTATGATAAAAAGATATTCAATATTAGTGGTTACAATGAAAAATTAAAGAAAACATGATCACAATTGTTTGTGCATTTAAAGCAAGTCTATAATTATTTCTTGTATCTTATTAAAAATGAATAGTAGAACCGTAGTTTTTTTTTAAAATAAATGCTATTCTAAAGCTAGCATAACATAAGATTTTAGAAATATAATTTACATACAATAGAGTACTTTTGAAGTTTCTTTATAAAACTTTGGATAATACTTGTATTTTTGATTGCTAACATTGGCCATAGTTTTTTTAGATATTATCAAATCTATAGAGAACATTTAAAGTAAGGTTTGTGAATTGCCAAATCTTCTACTTACAATAAAAAATTACACATATTATACAACTAAGGTGTGTAATTTTTGTATAAAAATATATATATATATATATATATATATATATATATATCACCAATTTTTTATCACATCCAATTGAATTTGGTCTTTTCTAAAACCATCTCAATTGTTAGAGATGAATCCAAGTACTTTCAAATAATAATTTGTTATAAATAAGGATGCATCCACTTTTTCTATGAATCTAAATATAACTAATAATCAATGCATTTAAACAACTAATTCATTACATATTGTTTCTAAGACTTAAGGCTATTATTTAAACATGCTTGCAATTTAAACTTTATAAATAGATTACTTAATAATATCTTATTACTACATACAAAAGTTTATATAGAGCTCACACGCTTCCTATGAAAGAAGAAGATATTAAACAAAAAGATAGTTATTTCATACTTTTAGTGATGCATCTACAAAAATATGCAAAGAAATAGCAAGTAAAAAACACCACAAAGTTTAATCAGACAATTAATGTATAAAAAAGTAATTAAAACGTGTAAGGCATGTAGTAGAAAGAAATGGAATTGTTATACATTTAGAAGAGCTCATAGTTAAGCAACAATAACATATATATATATATATATATATATGTTTACATCTTTTAGATAATGATATTCAAATAATTTTGATCTAAAAAATTAATATTGTAATATATTAATAAATCATAAAAAAATTAAATTTACATTGTGAATTTTAAAACTGATTTACCAAAATAAAATAATTTTACTAAAGAAATTAATGTATTTAAATTTTCCAAAATAATCCTAAATTAATAAAAACATTATATCTTATCATAAGTCAAAACATGTTTTAAATATTTATTTTTAGATGAATATCTATCAAAATCCCAATAAAATCTAAAATATCTATATATTTATAAAATCTATCGTATCTTTTATATATTTTAGTTAATAAGAAGATTGTGTGCAAATTACTTAAAACCACAAAGTTTTCAAAACAAGTGTTCAAATTGTGGAAGGGTTCCATTGTAGTTTTTTAAGATTTAAGAAATTTTTAGAGGAAGCATCTTTTACCACATGCATATGCAGTTTACAATTCAACATGCTACAGAACCAAACTACAAGTTGATAATTCATTAGACAGGATAATTTAATGTTCAAAACCAGAGTTGGTATTTAAACATCACAGAGAGACAACCACAAATATAATGAAGATTGAATTTGAACTCACTTCAACTAAAATATATTATGTCTCTCTGTTGCAATTACAAAAGTGACCTATGCTTGATTAGGGATGCCAATCCAACCAAAACTTCACATACACATCCATCTCTTTTGTATTCCCATACATTTTGTGGAATAAAGTAGCCAACCCATTTCCAATGACTTATGCATTTTAGCATATTTTCCATAAGTGTATACAAAATAATAATAATAAAATCTCTATGTAGGGAAATAGAAATCAAGAGGATTCTAGGTGTTTTCACACAATTTTGTGCAAAAACAGAATTTATATTAATGTTTTAGCTGAAGATTCTCTTTGACTAAAATCAGACACATAGGCCAACCTAATTCTGACCAGTGGTTGGTTACAAAATCAAAAATGCTTGATTCCAGCCAAATTTCTTGAGTAGGAATAAAATTCTTAATTTCTTACCAAATGGTGCCATGGGGTTGAGGCGAAATGTGAACTAAGTAATGTGAAATCATAAAATGTCAAAACTGATGAACATTATCATGGTAAGTTGATTGGAAATACATCACCCCATAGATGAGGAAATGGGGAGGTTACCTGATTGGTATTTCAGTTTAATGCTTATTTGAGATTGTATTCAGCTCTCTGGGCAGAAACCAGAGGGTGAACCCAACGAGGTGGGGGTGGGGCTTCAAACCCAGCGTGGGTCGCAACATAAGAGGCCCACGAGCTCGTCGTCCCTCTCCTCTGTGGTCCAGATAAGGCAACGCTAGGATAAGGCCTTGCAACAGGCAGGGTCTCGTTTCTGTTTTTTCTGTTCGTCGTCGGCCATCGCTCGCGATTGCTCGCGGGCACCCTTGATTGAGTGGCGCAGTCGCCGACCTTCATTGGTATTGGGTTTGGGTGTGCGTGGTGGATTTGCGTTGCAGCTCACCCAATTAGTGTGAAAAAGGAAGGAAGGTAGAGAGGGAGAGAGAGACTGGAAGGTATGGCAGCTATGGCGTGCACCTCTGCGGCCGCTGGCGCCTCGGCGTTGGTGGCCAGCACCAGCGCCTGCAGCAGCAGTGCGTCGTCGGTGATGGGCACTCGCGTGGCCATGGCGCCGCTGCGAGTGAGCCGAGTGGCGTGTCGGGGCTTGGTGGCAGTGTCGGCGTCCGCTGCCGCAGTCGAGAAGCAGGCGGAGGAGAAGACCGTGCAGCGGTTGTTGGGAATTTACCAGGAGAAGGTGGTGCCTGCCCTGCAGGAGGAGTTCAAGTATGAGAACAAATTCGAGGTTAGCATCCACCTTAGTCGGATATTGTTTCTCTTTTTTTCTGTTTTTTTTAATGTATCTAATGTAGCGTTTTCTTCATAGGACGAGAGCAGGGTTGTGGGTTGGCGTGTATTCCAGTCTAAGTTTGAAGGTTTGAGCATCGTGGCGTTTGCCATTGGTGGGATTTTGCAGATTCCAGCAGTGAAAAAGATCATCGTCAATTGTGGTGTTGGAGAAGCGTCGCAGAATGCGAAAGCCCTAGAAGGGACAATTCGAGATATTGCCTTGGTAACGGGTCAGAAGGCTGTCGTCACTCGCTCCAGGAAGGCCATTGCTGGTTTTAAGCTCAGAGAAGGCGTTCCTGTCGGAGTCACCCTCACATTGCGCGGTGAAGTATGTACCGAAGTCAATCTATAAGTGATTCCTGGGATTTTGAGTGTCGAAACTGCATCGCAGAATAATGGAGAATACATGACATAATTCTTGGAGGATTCTCGCACCTTACAGCCGAGAGGATTAGAGTGTGTGCAATGTGCCATGAATTGCGCTGGTGTACTGATTCTAGGTCAAGTTTAACTGTTCGTTTACTGTTAATTGTACGCAATTCAGATGCTGCAAACAACCCGGGATTAAAAACTAACAAACTATATTCTGGGATCAATTTCTCGGATCTAATTGTGACACTGAATGTTGGCAGGTTATGTACGCGTTCTTGGACAGGCTTTTGAATCTGGCACTTCCACGTACTAGGGATTTTCAGGGAGTAAATCCCTACAGCTTTGACGGGAAAGGCAACTATACATTGGGCCTTCCTGAGATCAGCGTATTCCCTGAAATCAAGTTTGAGAACATCGACAAGGTTCGTGGTTTAGATGTTTGCATTGTCACGACTGCAAAGAACGACGCGGAAGGCCATAAGCTGCTTTCATTGATGGGTATGCCTTTCAAGGAAATGGGTGGCGGACGCATGTCTGCCTCAGCTGCGAAGAAGGCCACTCGTGTAACTTTCAGGGGAAGGAGAAGGTAGAGGTAATAGTTAGGTTAGGTGCAGCTTTTTATGCGACTGGTGATCCACTACCTGATCCCAAGTTTTAGGTTTTGATTTGCCGATTATTATGATCTTCGTCAATTTTGCGAAAGGAAGTCTACAATGTCGAAGAATTTGTCAATCAGACACTCATGCAAACGTGAATCCATCCTGATCTGAAAATGTGCGATTGATGTTCTCTCAGCACTGGTTTTATGCAGACTGTGACCATGTCGCCGTTTTATGATTGTGATACCAGATCTTTGCCACCCCCACCACGAGAAAAAAAATGTGTTATGGACTTCCACATCTCATCATGATCATCAGTAGAACAAATTGGGAGTTATAATTATCTTAGTGGTATAAACTGTATTCGAACTTTTCACCCGACACATTTGCCATGTTTCAATTCTGAGGACCCAAATTAACACATGATGTGGATGGCAATATTCCAACTCCCCACACCCGATGTTGCACTAATCCTATACGTCAACTCATTGGATCATTCTAGCATCGAGGGATATGGAGGATCTATCCTTAACCCACTATCAACTTAGTTGGTCAGCAGAATCCTCTTCCCCAACCAAAGCGTCTACTCCGCAGCATGATTCGTTTTCGCTCATTCAAGAAGCATCTGCGCTCGAAATCAGCCACTACCGATGAAGGTCTACATTCTTCCGGGAATGTAAACATGCCTCATCTGCATGAGCGGAACACAATCCTTCGATGGCGACTTCGGCCACCTGCAGATTATCCTAAGAGCAGCATGCCTGCACAGTGCACAGCCACACACAGTTTCCATGAGTTTGAACAATCAGTACATAACGAAGGGTAATGAGAAGCTGAGCTGGTCTTATACAACCTTGAGCAAAAAGCCCCCCCCGCAGTAATGACAATATCAGGAAGTTACTGCGACGAGCGTCAATCGTATCCAACGCCGATTTGATGAGTCCAGCAATCGTCATCAGACCTATTCGTGCATCGTAAAGATCGACGGAGCGCGAAGGAACTTTGCACAAGTTGGTGAATGCAACAGGACGCTGAAGAAATGGTGGCAGTAGTGAGGTTGATTCCGAGAAGAAACTTTAGCACTGACCACGTTACTTTCGCACAACAGAAGGATGTGAACCCGACAGGCCATGAATGTTACAACATGCACTCAGTCCACTACTTTTCCTCGCCCTGGCTGCTAATGACGAGATGCTACATCGTCTGCGGTGGATGTACACAAGCGGTTCCATCCCTTCATCCCTCGAGATGCAATTAGATACTGTCTTGCTTAGAAAAGCTTGCCGATCAAATTGATGATCATTGAAACAGTGTTATACAAGGGAAAATCGAAAAATTGAATTGTTGTCACATAATGAAGTAATTTGAGTTTTTTTTTTTTTTTTTTTTTTTTTTTTTGTATCAGCAATCTGCTGAGGTCAGTGGTGGTGGAAAGCGCGGTGATGTTGCTTGGGTGCCATCCTAGCGCATTCTCCAAATGGAACTCCTCCAATCTAGAAGCCCTCTTGTGTGTCTAAACTGTGTTACCATGCTTGAGAATCCATCTGCCACGTGGGAACTACGTCTAATTGCAATCATTCGAGCGCAGATACGCTCAAAACTTATACGTTTCTCATTTCGTTTCGAAATTCACAAGAGTGCACAACATCAACACCACCGTGCGTTATGAGAATTGCCAGAATGTATGGTTTCATCCATTCGGGTGAAAATGAATTACATGACTTGAGTGATCCAATAATAAGGTGTATGTTCATGGTGCGGGTGATTTGCTAATTAATAGCATGCATCCAATTCCCCCCGTAGAGAACATTGGTGCAACAGCTGTAGCCAGCAACAATTTATTCATGACCACAGCGTATCCAATTTCAACATGCAGACATATGGTAATGAAGGTTAGTCTGTGAATGTGAGCAATCGTTCCCGAGATTCCAACTAGCAGGCAAGTTGTCTGCATGGGGGCTTGAAGTCCGACAGGCGAAGGACTGCAGTCCTCACAAGCATTACAAGCCGGTCACATGTTGTGGCATTCGACAAGATGAGTGGAGCTCGTCCAACTGGGAATTATATCTCTGCCCAGCTTTGGATGTACTTCAATAAATCCTATCACTGACCGAAAAAAAATAAGAAAATTCAAATTGCCAGTGTCAAATTTGAAGTCCTCCGTTCTCATTTCATTGACTTTCAAAGGTTGCGTGATCTTTATCGCATCGTAAAACGCTCATGGCATGATAGCTGGAAAAAGTGCATGAAGAGAAATGGCAAGTATATCAAGCAACGACGACTCCCAAAAGACTTTCTAATCTTCACTGAAAAAGCTAACATGGAAAGCAGCGGGTACTTCAAGTTCATTTCTTCCAAAGTGCTCATCTCAGCAGTGCCCAAGGATCACTTTCTAATGAAGGCTAACATCTGAAACTATTATCTTAAAGAGCATTCAAACACTACAGATTCTTCCCAAAGTACAACAGGCATATGAAGCTACGTGAAGAAACTGACAAAGCACAAGTCTCAACTTCCTCCAATGACATACAATAAAATGGTATTTCTCTTTCAAAAGAAGTGTCAACTGCATTTACTGTTCAGAAGGAGAACATGTGTGACGCAAAAAATGCAGTCCGCTGTTTTCACATGTTCCGCGTTTAAGAGACTACCAAAGAATTGTAGGACAAAAAGACTTAAACTGATCTCTTGGACCATAAATTGTCATCGACTTCAGCCCTACTCAAGGCTAAACCAACGGCAGATTGAGTCATACGCTACAATCGACCGAGAATAATCAGCTTTCAAGAACATGTCATCGCAATCACTGCTGCTCCTTGTTCATAGTAATCACTGCTAACATTTGCAATATCAAAATCCCTAACAGATGAAGATTCCTCACGCCGAACTGGGAGACGCATCCAAGCCAAAGGGCAGGCGAGAGTTCTACAAGCGTCCGATTATGTTCCTCCTGCTGCCATCCCTGTTGACGGAAGCTCTCCTCTTCGGCACAACTTCCTGGATGCTTTCGGCTCCAATGTGGCTAAACATTGAAGACTTCACTGTCCTGCTTGTAAGGGGCTCGCCGTCATCACCCAAAGACACAGCCCGTTCTTCAATAAGAACTAACTATGACCCATGGTCGGGAGAAATGCTTCGATAGCAATGCTCAAAGCATCATTGAAATTCAGTCACTCCCTGGTCTATTGGATTTTCAAACTTTCCCTGGAACTTTTGAGGTGCCACCAACTAAATATCTCTGTTCTCGGAATAGGAGATGGCTGCAAGGGACCATCGCCATCAAGGCGGAGGAGATTGCAATCGACAGACCTCAGGAGGAATAGCAAGAATGGAATGTTGGTGTTGTTGCGAATCATACAGAAAGGCACACGGCATAGCGCCTGTGATGGTGTGTAAATCAGCAGACGCGGAGCAATTAAAGGGACCGCAACTGACAGTCACTTTGACTGACGCCATGAAGTGAAGAAGAGAGGTAATGGAGATCAGATTTCTAGTGAAGCCACAAGCTTCGTTCAGTACGAAAGGCTTTGTCTCAACCAAGTTGTCGATAAAATGAGGAAAAATAGATAGAAAACGTGACTAATTCCAGATTTTGAACAAGGGAGAGACAGCTCGGAAGACTATGGGGACCCGTCTTGGAATAGAGCACCTCAAACTATCAAGCTGAAGTCGAGGTCGTAGTAGGTGTAATTAGAGGTAAAGGAAGATAGAGAGTATAATTCAGCATAATGAGTCCAGGCGTCTCCAACAGCCAGAAACAAAACCACGACAAGGAAGAAGAGAGATAATATGTACGCCTTGAGCATTAAGAATGAAACTTCCTTCTTCGACTCGAACGCACAAGCAACAAACTCCATCATGTTCCTATCCTTGAACCCAATTCTTCAATTGCAAGCGCACCCAACTCGAAAAGGAAGGCGGGAAAGAACGAGAAGCTCGAACACCCTGCGCTATCTGGGAGAAGAAAGCAACGCATACTCAACCTGTTCTTCCACCATCTATATCTAAACAATTCCAACTGCGAGAACTAACATAGCCAAAGCCATCACCGTTCAAGTTGCCTATCAGCTTGAAACAGAGGCCACTTGACGAGTGCCGGAGACCTGGACTTACGTCGAGCTAGGGCTATGTTGACCAAAGCATCAACTTAACTTGTGGGTTCCCTCCTCCAGCAATAACCCTACGCACCCTCCTTTTACATGCCATTTCCAGTACGGATTTTGTCAGCATCCCGCTCATCTTTCGCCGTTCCTTCAACTTCCACAACGGGTTCACTCTGTAATGTATCCAAAACTTATATGAACCAATCCAAGAATCCGTAAAGTCTTAGAAATCAACAATATTCAATAAACATTGTCAAATTATAGTAGAAAGAAAATCGAGAAAACAGACAGAGAGTCCCAACATGAAAAGAAAAGCAACAATGGTGGGGACAGAACAGACCATAAATAGCTTTTCTCCTGATTAAGAGGAGGCTGCTGAAGAGTGTGGAGGGTTCCGTTCCTCGCCGGTTCTTTATCCAGGCATCTTCGTTTGCAACTTCTCACGCGAAACCCTGGGACCTTAAATCCAGATGAAAGCAGAACGTAGACGTTGGTTAGCCGACGATGCTTCATGCTGGGAGTGTTGTTGGAGAAAAGCTGCACAAAACAGAGGGAAAGAAGACGTTTCTCATCCAACTGCATGGTACACTACCATCGGGCATTCTGCCGAAACAGTCTGGGCTCAGGTGACACACGAGGTTTGGTCTCTGCCATGAACATTGATTATCAAGGACTCTAGATCATGATGTCCACGAGTTCCTAGTCAGAGACACCAACGGAGGTGCAATCAGCAACCTCGACGGGGCCCACCCCATGAGATCACAGTGGCTAGCTGCCTGTCAGAGACTACGCTTTTTCAGCCTCCCCCCACTTGTGTTTTGAGCTTTATTCCGAATTCCACTGCTTGGCTATTCCTGCAACCTTGCATTGGGATCCCTCTTTAGCTGGGAAGTAGCCTGGTTGCCCATACCCGAGTCAGCTGATGTGGTCTTTCTTCGACGGGCTGGAATCTCGCCCATGGTGGCCGTGGGCCCAGACTTCCAAGTGCTTCGGATTACTAGCTTCTAGAGCTGGGGTTCGGTAACGTTCATGTTGCTTTATCGATCCTCCATGACTTGCAAAATGTTTGTAGATAACCTCGATGGATATTCCAATCGAAATCTGCCCTGCCTACTTTGGAAAGCGCACCCTAATTAAATAATGTGTGTGTGTGTAAAATTTACCCATAATCTCATGGGATGGCAAAGTGTGCATTGCGAAGTTGATATGGCTCGTTCCACGTTCGGTCGAAGCTGAAATTTACACCAATTGACCCATAAATTTTTTTTCCTACCCTTGAAATACGTTTCACTGTGCACCCAGTTAGTTTTATTTGTGCCGCTTTCATTCTACTGAAGCGGATCAAACGAAATTCTTACCCACAACACCTAGTGCAATCAGAATAGTAAAAATGAGCATTTTGGCATACCTTCAGCAACCATTTAATATTCGTTTTTGAAAAAAACTTGGTGAGAAAATCTATCTTTCACGTGATATACCTCTACGGAAAGGGTCCTTTATTGGCATAGCCACCAGCCTGGCTTTTGTTTCAGCAACCCCCCCCCCCTCCCCCCACTTTTCTGTTCCTATTCCGAAGCATGCAGATCACCCCAGAGCTTGGTTCAATATGAGAGTGTGTCAGAGTGATACCAAAAAGGTTCTATTTGAGTGCCACTCTGACACCACATTTCTCTTTTCTCAAAAAAAAAAAAAAAAAAAAAAAAAAACAGAACTGCTCAGGATTTTGACTACCCACTACAGCATTCACCATGAAATAAAGTGAATGAACTACCAAAAAAACAAAAAATAATAATAATAAAAATAATAAAAAATGGCTACGTCACCACAAATCGTAGCTTGCGAAGAGGAGCATGTACAAGGATTGGAAGGTTTGTGTGTCTCCATTCCAGCCATCCACCTTGTAACCAGACCCTCTAAACAACAAAAATGAAAAATAGAAATAAAAAGTGCAGAATGGAATACTAAAATCACCATGAACAGTGTACCATGCTGCCTTCGTGCACAAGTACGATACAGTGCCCTATGAGGAATGCAGGTACCGAGCAATTATACAGCAACGGTCTACTTAGTGAGCAAGTCAGATTATTTAAGATTCTTTCAGAGGAGCCTTCCAAGGTTTAGGTGGAAAAGTACTACCATTGTGATCCAGAATCATGTGGACACGAATTAAAACACTTTTGTCTGACGTTTATTGTTCAATGTATCTGGACAAGCCGAGGAAGTTGGAAATCGATGGAGGTATGTGTAGGTTTTGTGTTAAGATTATGCTATAATAACCTCACTCAACACCCTGATATCAGAAACTGGCCCAGTTTGATTTGATAAAGAGGAGGAAGTAGAATCAGTTTGGGTTGGACAAGGGTGTAGGAGATACTTGTTTTGTCCCCTCATTCATACCTTCCTCTCGACGGTTGCTCTTTGAACATGCCAAGAGACTCAATTCGCCATCGCGACTGTTAAATTCATGAGAAGGTTTGGAAAATCCCGGCACGCTAACCACGGACGGACTACATTTCGCCATGTGAATCTGACTCCAACGTGTTCCCCGCACAAGCGTAGAACTAACACTTCGGTCATTCCTGGATCTCCTCCTTCTCCGAACTCTGTGCAAGTCTACATCCTCCATAACCTCCTTTCGGACCGTGTTATACTGTAGTCGATGAATCAGGGCGTTTTTTCAGTTGTTAGACAGCGGTCTCCATCCGAACTGTAGTGAGTTAGTGAAACCCTTGACCTATCATCACATGCATCGTCAATCTGGAAATAAGATACAAACAGAGCCCTGAAACCAAACAATGCTTCCAGACATGGCTGATTGGGACTTCCTCAAAACATTCGACAAACAACTACTTCATGAGGGAGATCTATACTTGACGGAATACAGATGCGATCACAGTGACCCCCTAAATAAAAAAGAAAAAGAACAAATCCGAGAGAAGAACGTGACATCCCTGAGACTTCACAGAGGTATTCGAAAATTGTATCCGGAATGTATTTACGAATCAGTAGCAATATGGTACAATGGCATCCCGGTAGAGCCTCGATGGAAGCTTTGAAGCATGCATTCTGTGTAGAATCTACACTAAATCAGACCAGGATGTTTGGGCAAGGACCGGTGTGATCCAGAATCCAGCATTAACAGCGGTGTCGCAATGTGCTTACTTCGCCTGGTTCTGTTTCTACAGAAAAGAATAAAAACTATGATTATCAAATATTGAAGCTTAATCGTATGGAATCAGAGAAGCCATCTGTGAACATGGTTATGGCTCCGCAGCATTGAGAATACTGGCACCATGCATCGCCTACAGACCAGATCAAGGCCAAGCTGAGCACGAGACACGACACAGTGTAAGCTTTGATCACCGTCGTGGACGACACACCGTCCTGCGAATCCCGTCTCCACGAAATGGACTTCAACGGCTTCATCTCGAGATACATATGTATCCCCCTCTTACAAAACTGCAACTATCTTGAGATCAACCCACCAGGGGGCAAGCAACGAATTAGGTTACTATCCCTCCGTCCCCGCCGATCTCAGCTACTCACAGAGAACTCTTCCCAAGCCCTCCAACTGACATCAAACCAGTCTTCTGTCGCAAAAACACAGACGAGGTACACGACAGCGCCGGAGTAAGCTCGCAGATTCCAAAGGGACCCCCTGCAACACTCCTCACAGGGAAAACGATACGGCGAAAAGTCCGACTTCAACCACCTGGCTCAGACATCCTTCGGCACACCCGATGCATCACGAGCAGAACTAGCACTCCGCTCTATCAACACCCCAGCATGTAACAGAAACCAGCAACCAAGTGAACTCTGTTGCTTTGCTTTGCAGCAGCAGCACTATCTTCAAACCTTGTTTATATAATTTTGTCTCACTTTCTCATAGTTTATTTTAGCAAGACTGTTGCAACGGACGCCGGCGGAAGTGGGGGTTTCATCAGATGGATCCCGTGTTCCGCGATCGCTCGCTCTCCCCCCGTCCCCTCCATGGAGATCAACTCGTCTATGTGTGGACCTCACACTCCTTTAGTGTTAACTTTATCTCCTTTTTTTCTTTTCTTTTTTTTCTTTTTTTTTCTTTTTGTTTCTGCCTGCAAGTGGGCTGCGTGCTTCCAAAGTCAAGGATAGCGTCGCCGCGACAGGCGGCACTCTTCCGCGCGCAGTCTAGCTTTCTGAAAAAAAAACTCCGATTCTCTGTCTCGTGAACATTCCCCTTCATCTTCTCCTACACTAGGATTAGCCAGCCCATTGTTCCCACTCCCTCTTAACCCATCTTCCTCATTTAATCCACACTGCAGTTAGGTTGTGATGTTACCATTTCGGTGCAATTCCGTGACCCAGATGGGCACCGATGGTCTGTTTGTTGTGTTTTTTTTTTGTCGTGTTTTGGTGGTTTGTTGTTGATTTATCCTCTGGGGATGGTTTTTTAGGGATTTGTCACCAAGTCTATGTGATCTTCGTTTTTTTAACAAGAATTTGTTTTGTCAGATGACAGTGATGAATGGTATGTGTCGAGGCTGTTTAGAAACAAATGTGGGCTGTGGGGAGGTTAGACACTTTGTTTATTTAGAAAAGGGTGGCCACATCATGGGTTTCTTTCTCTCGCGTGATACCTCATGACGGTTTTGCTTACAAACTAAATTTCTGTATGTTTTCTATTTGTTTGTTTCAACAGAGAGGAACCCCATGATGTGGCATATAACAATATCACTATTGTCAATGTTCGTCACACGATGTGAGGTTGAAATTTTTTTCACACAGAATATGTAACTGTGGGTCTTACCTATACCCAAACAATGTTTTCTTTTAACGAAAATGTTCCTAAAATGGTGCAAATATTTTACCCAAAAATATTAGAGTGAAGAAACTTTCAATTATGCTCCTTTTCTTTTATGCATTCTGTTTGTTGTTTTTCTTTTCTTATCCCAAATTATAACATATCAAGTTCCTATTATTTAAGAAACCAATGTGAATGTTGAGGTCATCAACACCACAGTGCCTTTGTGGGACGTCTCAATTTGGATTGACTGCTGACCTGGCATCACCGCCCTCCATACTCATTCATTCATTAATTCATAAACAAATTACACATTCTACACATTATTACATTATTTTATAAACAGATTATATATTTTTATGTTTTTCATAATTGTCACAATTAAGATATTAAATGTTACAATTAAAACCATTTTAAAATAGAATGATTTGGTCTGCATTATGGCCTCCCTCTTTTTATACTAAGTTTAAAAATGCAGGCTTTTATAGGTCAACTTTTTTCCAGCAAGCTTTTGAATCAATGCTTTTAAAACAAACTTTTATAGATCCTTCAATAGATCCCCTAAATGTTAGACAATCTTTAAAATTTAGGTAATTGTATAACTATATTTAATTGTCTATCTCAAACTATCTCCGTTGATTATTTTACAATCCCACCTTAACAATTAAAAGCGGATAAGGTTTAAAGACTAGTTTTACACTTGATTAATTTTGTAGTCTTCTTTTTGAACTTCAACTCGATTTATTGTAATATAGAGGCAATAACTTGCAAAATCAAAGAATTTATCAGTGAAGATAATGCATTCTTTACAATTCAATATAAACACATGTATCTAATGTCCAGTTGGTCAAAAAGCAAGAGTCTTGATAATTTTCTATTAAATGTTTCCAAAATTATGTGTAGAACAGGCTTTTTGATTTACAGGACTGAAATGGATGGGTACTAGACTTTTGAACTCCATCCAAAGCAGAAATTTGAGAAGTATTAGTGTTAGACTCATCTTGTATGAAGGTATTTATGTTCAAATAGTTCCATCATTTCACACTATGGCAACTTAGGTCTATTGACTGACAATGTAACAATCTTGAGTTTGAATGAATTGTCATTTTGTAAATTTGGAGTTTGTCACATTTTTATGAAAATACAAGAGACTTCAAAGAGATACACTATCTGAAGTTCATTTATGAAAATTATGGAATAACATTTATAATGAAAATATGCTAGATTCATTTGTAAGCAAATAGGTTTATTTCATAATATCATTAAAAAAAACAACAACAACAATGATCTAATTTGGTTTAGGAAATGAAAAAAAAATCAATTGTTTCATTAGAAGGTTAACAAAAGTAATTTTCTATTTTTTAAAAAATTAAATAGAAAAACTAAAAACATATATATTACCTTGAAAAAATGGTAATATCTGAAATTTCAAAACATGCATGTATTGACAAGA